AATCTGTGTTTGAAATCAGTAAGATGATGATGAAACCATTTGAATGGTGGCCCTCAGAGAGCTGCAAATATGGAAAATTAATGGACCCCATGAACTTCATATTGACTTGTCTGTACTTTTTATCTCAAAGTTTCATCATCCTTATTTTGTTTCCAGATTGCATTAAGGATAAAGCTTCAGGATCCCTGAAGAAATCTAAAGATGTTAGCTATTGATTGTGACTTTTCTGACAGTTAATGAGTAACTGATCCATGAAGAAGAGAAAAGGGTGCTTGTCTGCATGAACTCTTCTCACGAGGGTGAACAATTAAGATAACTGAAAAGAAGTACTGACACTGTGCAGAGAAAGATTTGAGGTTAACACAGGATCTTGCCATCCTTAGTAGAATTAGCCAGAACAGGAGGCTGCAGAGTTCATGTGAATATCAGTGAACACAAGTACAAATTATTCAGAACAAAGTTGCCCAATTTTGTAAGAGAGTGTAGAAACCTTGTAAATTTCCATCTTCATTTCTGAAAGCATTCCAGATCTGTGTTAGTTTGCTCAAATCTGCTTTTCTCTAGGTTTATATCTACTGATAATGATTTTATCCCGGCTTCTCTCCATAGACTTACCACTCTAAGTCTCTCATAAAGACCTTTTTATTACACTGGCATGTAATTCTTTGAACAAAGACCTAAAAACCAAAAGGCTTGCTGACCTAAAAAGCTGCTAGATTATCTTTTGAAAGCAAAGAAGGGGGGAAGGGAGATCCTTGATATTTCATAACATCAGTGAGTGATGTTTGTGAATCCAATATCAAAAAAACACTTCTAACAAGGAACAGTTGCAAAAGATGCATGTTACATAAATTCAATCAAAACTTAACCACATGATAGGAAAGTTAGGGGTGCATATTTGCAGCAAATTCTCTCATCAAAGACAGAGTAAATTGGCCAGGGTGCAGGTTAACACAGGGTGTGTCAGCTGGGTACAACATTTTTTTTGCACAAGAGGGCTTAGCTATCAAGATGATCTGCATGGGAATGCATCATTTTCATGATTTAAAAATAGCTACAAAGCATGGTTGCTGGATTGTGTCTCTACACATATAGTCTATCATTCTCAATATCAATCTATTTTATAAAAATACAAGATCTTTATTTATTTAATACATTTTAAGTTCTAAGCAGTCACAAATTTAACTACATTTGGACTGTTTCTTCATGGGTGAGAGCAGTTGAGCAAAGGTCAGAAACAAGATAAGTGTAATTTTGTTCTCTGTGGTTGAGCTATATTTCTGCTATCCATACCAGCATACTTGTAACACTCCATGTGTTACAAGTGGAGTGCTAGGGTTCATGCAGTATCCAATTGTTTGTGATGCTCTGAGCACATAAAACAAGAGTTTCAGGTACTCAGAACCTGAGAAAGACTGAATCTCAGTTTACATATTGCAGTCAAAATTGTCCTGTTATTTTTTTCAGAACAAAACAACAGGTCACATATTGGAAAGGTTTTTAGGAATGTGTCACACCCATCAGAAATTTACACTGGAACATTACAGAATTTACAAATGTTAGGGAGTTTTGATGTAATTGCCTTTAAATGTCAGCAAAAAGATATGCAAGAAAAAAATTGCTCTAGAAACACAGCATTCCAAAATAATCTGAATCTGTTTAGATATTAATAAATTGTGTTAGAAAATTAAAATAGTTTTAATCTCAGTAGTGCACATCTTATAATTTTTATTGAACCAATCTGAAAAATTTATCCTTTTTTTGGCAGGGGGGAGTGTGCAACATCTGGAAAAACAGGCTATGTTTTTGAAACCACTTCTGATTTACAAGTAAGGAAGGAGCATTTTCCACTGGCAGGATTCAAAATTAGATCAAAACATCTCCAACAGCCAAAGAAAAAGAGTCAATATAAGCACAAATTAAGAAATCTCTTTCGCCCATACATTGAAGCAACAGTGTGTACTGGTAAGAGTGAATCTGTCACTCATAATGCTAATTATCTTGCAAACAATTGCATAGGCAAGACTTTAGTAAGTTTTGGGTTTGCATACGCTAAAGCAAAACTTAAGCAGAGATCTGATAGAGACTTCTAAATGATATTCCAATATGAAAAAATAGTATCTTTACATACTTCTAATGAAAAAAAAAAAAAAAGAGTAATCCTGAATTCATGTGATTTAGCCAAAATTCCAGTGATATATATAATACCACTTACTCACTCTTCTGCTGATTCTTTGTCATTTGTTCTTCGCTATAAACCTCGTGGCTAAGAGCTGTTTACTGTGTTAAAAAAAGAAAAATAATAGAGGAAGTTCAGAGAATATCTGTGGATATAGCCAAAACATTGGTAACATGGAAAGATTTTGTTCGTAACTTCTAAGTAAATAATCAGTATATAGCAGATTAATTATTAATTTTAGATTAGCTGAAAACATATTCAAAAAAATACTTTTTTTTTAGTTTATTTCTTTCCAAGTTTCTCTCAGTGAAGGCAAAAAATACTGGAGTAAGGTGGCTTACAGCAGTGTTATGATGACCTCTTGTGGTTAGGTAATATATGCATTTTGGTTCAAAGTCTCTTGAAAACTTGCAGTAGCAAAGGTTAAATTCTGTACTTAAATCTGAAGAGCTTTGTGTTGTTAGTGTTGCTTAACCTGAAATTACTCCTCCTCCCAAGCACATGATCAATATTTGTTTAGCTCACTGCTAAAAGATTATTTTAAAAATATCTCAGCCTTTGCACTCCACAAATGTAGAAGGTGAGAGTATAGTGTTTTGTCACATGGTAATTTGTTAAAGCAAATCCACAGCTCTACCTAAATAAAATCATTAATATAAACCCCAATAATATTTAATAAAACCGTGCCCACTACAAGTGTGAAAGAAGCCATATAAGCCACTCATTATAAGAAATAAGATTCTATTGATAGACTGCAACAATAGATATTGAATATATATATTTTTTGCATAAAATTTTAGTGCATGAACTAACTAACTATATGCATCATGTTTAAATTGCTGTTAAATATGTCTCTTTTCCTCAGCTTTTCTTTCAACAAAAATCAGAGAACTGAGGATTTTCTGATGTTGCCAAATGCAGGCTATCAATCTGGATCAAACTATCAGACATCTTATCCTTGAGTAGATAAAATTGCTTAAGACTTTATTTTGGTTTGCAGTTTCCTGAAATCATTCAAAATTATGCTGATTTCATTAGACCACTTTGCTGAGGGATTATACTTCAAGTGATGGTCCCATCAATATTTATAGACCCATGGTAGTACTTTCCCGCTGAAGGATCACCAGCGGTGGTATTTACACCTGCCAGGCAGTATTAACATGACCTTACTAAATTTAGGATTTATTGCAAAGCCACTTCTGCACTGGCTCTGCTGTCTGAAGCTTTGGAAGCTCACAGGGAGCACAACCTTGGACTGCCCCCAGCTGGATGTGTGCCACATTCTGAGCCGCTGTGATTGCAGCTGGGGGAGCCTGAACTCAGCTGCTGTGAGACCTGGCTTGTTTATGCAACACATAACAGCACTGTGGGTTAAACCTACATGCTGCTCCCAGTGTACACAGCAATCACTATTAGCTCTCCCCATTACTTTTCTTTGAAAAGGTGAAAAGCAGGGACTGTTGGGCAAAATATGCTGGAACAAAGCGGATGCCAACAACAAAAAAATTCAGGTTTAAGTTAAAATGTGGTTATTGGCACATGGTAGTAGGTAAGCACTGATGGCAGTCAAGTATCCTGAAAAGTCTCTCTGACTTTTGAAACATCATTGACAAAATTTTCCTGAAAATTTATTGCATTAGGAGGTTCTGAGCATTGCTGGTACGCAGACTTGGGAGACAAAACCAAATTGTTTGTGTGGAGGAGGGAAATGTTTTGTTTCTATTTTCCAACAGGGCTAATCTGTCTCATTTTTCTTTAGCTGGGTTAACTCTGCAGTGCCAAGAACTGACTGACTTGAAACTGTAAACCCGGTGTATGAGGAGCAAACTCCAATACTCTTGGCCCCATTGAACTTCCAACTAAATACAGTTTGCATGTCTGAGCACATGATTTTTCAAAATGTCTAAATGCTGCCATTATTTCCCGTCATTATTTCCCCTGGGTTACAGATGGGATAATATCCAGCCTGAGACAATTTTGATTTGACCCTCAAGGTGCAGTTGTATTGCTCCCCTGGCTCCTTTGGTTTCTTGGCTGGCTGGCTAGGAGCCACCTGCCCATTCGAGCAGCCAGCCAGCCAAGAAACCAGCCAGCTAGTGACCTCCCTGGGGGAGGTAGCGGGTGGCTGTTTTGGCAGCAAATATGCAGGCATCTTGTGCCTCACTGTGTAGCCTACGAGGCCTTGCTGTGCCAGCAGCAGCATGGTATAGACAGGAATCATCTGGTGAGTACTGAGGTCTTATCATTTCTCCCTTCCCAGGACAGGGGAGGAGGTCTCATAGTCACAGCCTTGTCCCACTAGCTGCCAACTCACAACTCTTTCTGCAGCCACATTTCAACACAAATGTCAGTAGACTAACCATGGTGCATGCCTTCAGCCAACACAATATTCCAAACATGTTCAAAGCTCTGAGGGTGTGTTTTTAGGTGTGGGTGGCACACTGGGACAAGCTATGGTTTTGAAGCAAGTTCTAGATACTGACTTTCAATGACAATGAAAGTCAAACTCTACAAAAACCTTTCACTTTTGCACATCATCTAATATTCACACTAATTATTAGAAGGCTCTTATAGTTCATATATATGTTTAATGATACAGATGAGCAGCAGAAAATTTCCAGCCAGCAAAAATGTTAAAAAAAAGCAATACAGAGCCATCTAAACTCCTTGAATAGGCTGTGTTCTGCCACAGACTACTATTGTGCTGCAGAAATATTTTCTCTGTAGACATTCTCAGATACCTGTTTATAATACGATTTTATTCAAGTTTTGTAATATGCTTTCTCATTCTCCAAGCAGTAGAGTATCCTTGCAAGCAGGGGTTAAATCCTGTGCTTCCTTTTTGGCTTATCTTCCAGCAATAACAGGTTCATTTTCTGGCTTTGACAGGAGGCAGTTGGTTTACTGGCTGGCCATTGTGTAAGCATCAACTGCACTGGAACTACAGTAGGAACAAGAAACAGGAAGAAACCAGTTGGTAAAACACAATCATAGGCTGGCAGGCATTCGTGACTATTTGTCACTCCTTCCAAAGAGGGGAAAAACAGCTGGTGGCAGACATTCAGTGCCATCAAGTATCCAGAAATATCTTCTTTCTCCATGCCAGGATACTCAGAGTTTTACTTCAATGTGGACCATGGCTATTTGGAGGGACTGGTCCGAGGGTTCAAGGCTGGGATCTTGACAAGTGCGGACTATGTCAATTTAGCACAGTGTGAGACACTAGAAGGTAAGTCTGCTCATTTATTTTATTCAGGAAGAAACACTGTTGCTTAGGTCTTTGAAGAAGGGAAGGTAAAAGACTGAACTACTGAGAGTTTATCTTAAACCTTGAGACAACCCCGATGTGCTTTGAAGAACTGTTCTCATATTTAAGTTAATGGGTTTCCATAGACTGTGATTTGTGTGCAGGCTGTAATTTGCTAAGCAATGCAGACAATGGGGCTTTTTTGTTTACTGATAAGGTTTAGAGATCTCATGCACAGAGTTCTTATGGCGATTGGCAACCTTCTCACAGATTTTTAACCATGCTGTAGAACAGTTCAGGTCTGGAACTTTCATACCATTTCAACTGTATAAAACAGTTTCCAAAATCTTGTTAAAAGCTTGCTATTTGGCTTTGAGTTTCTCTATAAAATAGAAGATCTTAGTAATTTGTTACTTCCTGAGTTTTAGGTCAGCGGTGGAGACTCAGCTTACCAGGAAGAGAAAACTAGACTCCACAAAGATAAGACAGGAAAAAAAGAAAAAAAAAAAGAAAAGAAAAAAAGAAAAAAAAAAAAAGCTCTTTTCAAGGTGACTTTGCCACAGTAATAAAGAGAACACACAGTAGTTTCCAAAACAGCTTTCTGTGGCCAAGACTGGTCACAGCCTGATGAAGACAGACTTGTACCAAAGAATCATATGACATACCTTTAGACACTTGGCAGGAAAAGAATGCAACAGGAAGAAATCAGAAATCACCTTTCTAAAGGAACATAAAGTTAATTTTCCTGACTGCAAAGTGAAAGCTATGATTGTACACTCAATTTCTATAACTTGCAGTCTATTAGATCAATTTGGAAAAGAAAGAAGGAGAATGAATAAGCTCACTCTATTTTATGCTTTGGCTGATTTGTACATGCAGTAATGGGTTTGGAGTAAGAAAAAGGGAAGAATGATGATTCCCATATCCAACAGAGTTTTGAGGCTGTCTAAACTAAATAATAACATAAATCTGGGAAGATTGCCTGCCATTCATCTCTCAGATTAAAACAACTTCATTTAAAGAAATGCATGTAGATATTTACCTGTCTGCAGAATAAAGTTCCTCTATAGTTAAAGAAGAGTTTATCAATACAGACAATGGAATCTAGACACTACTGAACAGACCAAGTGCATGTGTCTACTTCTGCTGATAACCTGGAGAGATGTACCAGCTCTCCATTAAATACAGTGGCAGTTCAGACACGCAGAACAGATGTGTGTACAATCACACTGAGAAATTAAATTTATTCCTTATGTCAGCTGGACAAAGTCAACTGTTTCTTTACCCCATTTGTTCCAGCATTTGTGATCTATGCAACTTACAGACTCCACACAAAATACTGATATTGTATTTAATTTTTAAGTGAAAAAGTCCTGCTGCATTAGTATACAGACTTCAGAAAAAAGTAACAGCTTCAAACATCTATAAAAGACACAAAGGACAGATTGGTAGAATAACTACATTGTGTTGTCACTTCACTTCTCCCTGCAGATGAGCTCAATAAATGATGTCATCCGAAGCTTCATGAAGGAAAAAAAATCCTGGTTGTTTCTGAATAAGAATAAAAAACATGGAGTTAACAATATATAAGGAATTATTTGCATTCTTCACAAAAGAATACTTGATAATGTTAAGTTTAGAATAGGTAAAAACCCCCTAAATTTTAAGTTATGCTATAAGAAAGTTATTTACCACCATGAGGTACTTTTCAAATATTTCTAAGAGCATGCAGCAGATGGACAGGTAACAAGAGAGATAAAAAACATTCCTAATTAAAATTTATAATAGGAAGAACAATTAGTTTTATTTTTTAAACTTATTTTTCTAGTGTTCATTCAACTTTAAAATGCAAATTATTTCATCAATAGAAGCAGCAGCCTTCAGCATCCCTCCTACAAGCACATCTCTATTACCAACTGTCACTTCCCCTTTTTCTTTATTCAATGGCATCTTTTTCACCACTGTAACTTTTTTCTACTTATTATAGACAGCTAACAGATTCCCACCATTTACCTACCAAATGTATTATTTATAATGAAAATATGAGAAATATAAAAATAATGGATTTCTACATGATGCTAAACACACTTGTTTCTCTGCACATGTAGGATGCTGTAATACTGAACTTTCACCATGAGTGTACAGTGCATCAAACCCAAAGACCCCTACCTAAAGTAAATTTCTAGAGTATATTTAATATATTGTCTTTTATTTAAATTTGAAATATTCAGCAAGAGGATCTGTGGTGTAGTAATGTGATGTTTGCTCAGTAGTGCCATCATGTCTTCACATTAAAAGGTAATAAATTTACCCTATTCTGCATTCTGTGGCTTAGCACCACACCACAAAAATGACCTAAGCTAAAGACACTATAAATATGCTAAAACAAACAAGCAGAAAACAGAAAATCAAAACCACTCAAAGTAACCCATAAACAGAAGCAAAAAGATCTTTTAATTTCAAAGTGGTTTTGCTATCTCTAGAGAGGAAACAATAGCATCACTACTGAAGAACCACAAGAAAAACTGTAGATTAGTGTTTTCCATCTGCTTGATAATCACAGAGAAAGTGTAAAAGCGAGATGGAAATTAAAAAAAACTAACAGATACCACTGTGTCCTCTCAATTCAGGGCCATAAAGACAGGAGGAGAGGCTTTCAGTCCCACTTAGACATCCTCTTCAGCTTGGTTGAACTACGATTTCCATGGAGCTACCTCATGGGCTTCTTGCTACTCGTTTGGCCCTATGGCATCATCTGTTTCAAGGGAATGAGGTTCCCGGAACAACCTTACTGATAGTTTTGAAGTAGAATATGGGAGTGTGGGAGTGTGGAGGTGTTTAAATGCAATGTTTTGTTCTTCTCTTGTTTTTTTCTGTGATAGAAAGACTTCTGCTCTTTAGAAAGGGGGCTAAATCATAGAAGGGCAAGCATCTTAACTCTCATCCCGACAGAACCACTGAAACAAGTTTACTTAACTTGCCAGAGCCGGGGCTTGCCAGCACATGGTGGCTGAAATAACAGTGTTACCTGAAAGAAAACTGCAGCTAGTTGGTTATTGCTATCAAAGTGAGGGGTCAGACAAATTACCATGAACTTGATGCCAAGAGACCATGTTAACACTTTGTTAAAGTTCTCACAATATTTTTTCATTCTTTTTGATCAGGATCATTCCTGTCTTAACTGCATTAATCTTAAACTAGTCTCCCCCTGTGCATTAATTCCTTTTGGTCATACTTTAGTTAATTGTGTTTGTTTGCTGTTCAGTTGTGAGTAAACTCACGTAATTATTTAAGGTCATACTTTTACTATAAGTTGTTCTCCTGCATGTAATTTAATGAGGAAAAAGACAATGCAGATGGATGACAATCAAAATGAATGGATGACAGCTGAAATACAGGAATTTTCTTTTGTAGGGATCTTTAAGATAAAAGACAGAGTCTTGTGTAGGTCTCCAAGAGACCCTGAGAAAAGGGGCAGCTGCCAGCAATAAGAGGTTTTGGTGAACAGGAATGTCTGAGGCCCCTGTAATGCTCAGCCATCTACTCCTGCTTAGTCACCCAGTCATGGCACTAGTGCAAGCGTCTGACAGCGATAGTTCCCAGGCCTTATTTATCCCAGCAGCAAAGAAAGAACTGCAATTTAGGTCAACCAGTGCAGTCTCTAAGCTGCACTGAACTCTGTCTTGATGTGAACTCTGATTATGACATTCCTGGTTGATATTATATGGTATTGGAGCTTGTGGACAATCATTTTGGCCAAGACCATTAGATAGAGTTGAATATTTTTTCTTACCTACAGTATGCATGTTGGCATTTATTTATTAAATTAAATACATCTATAAAGCAGGCTGTGTAACTGACAGGGTTATAAACATTGACAAACATTCCTGGGTATAATATTTCCTCCATAGCTTTTGGGAGATGGGTGAGGCTACTTAATGAATTATAGCTAATATTTTTCATGCCTTATATTAAGGCATGGCTTATGAAGCCACTCAATCAGAGAACTGAGGAACAGTAACAAAATCTTGTGAAACTACTCTTGATCAACAGGTTTTTGTTTCTGTTCATCATATGATGATGTTAAAAACAATACAGAATGTTCAATATTTGGGGCTGATATTTACAGTCTGCTTTGTGCAGTTAACCCCTGAAAAGTACTGTGTTTGAAAGGCATTTACGCAGTGGGGCTAAAATCAGATATCTGTGGTTTATCTGAAAAGAAATTGAGAAAAGTTGGAATTGAGCTCTGCATCTAATAAAGTAGTATTATCTAATCTGAGCATATGCCAAGTATTTTTATACTCTTTGTGACAAAAAAGGAGAAAAGTAGGAATGAACAGTTTTCACAGGAAATGTAGATGTAAAATCAAAATATTAATGAGCTTTTAAAAACTTGGTCTTACACAGACTAATTTCTGGGTATAACAGCATTTTTATTTATCTCAGTCTTCCTGACCTTTCCCTTTTTCTTCAATTGTGTTTCTTTTTTCATATTTGGATTCTCTTTCTCCACTTCCTACATGGAAGTCGGTACTGAAACTATGACTTTTTCTAAGTGTGTTATGTGATTTGATATAGATTTGATGAATAGACTACATTTGGTGGATAAGAAACTGGCTGAGTGGTTGCATCTGGACAGTAGTGGGCAATGCTCCAAAGTCCAGACAGAGCTCAGTGCTGAGCAGCGCCCCTGCTCCTTTCTGGGACCAGGACCATTTGATATCTTCATCAGTGACACAGACAGTGGGATCGAGGACACTGTCAACAGGTTTGCAGTTGCCACCAAACTGAGTGGTGCATGTGACACCAAACTGAGTGAGTGGTGCAGCTGACACAACTGAGGGATGGGATGTCATTTAGAGGGACCCAGCAAAGCTGGAGAAGTGAGCCCATGGGAATCTCGCAAGAGTCAATGAGGCCAAGGGTAAGGTCCTGCACCTGGGTTGGGCAATCCCTGGTATCAACACAGGCTAGGGCAGGAAGGAATTGAGAGCAGACCTCTGGAAAAGGACTTGGATGTCTACTACTCTTGGACAAAATGTCAGACGTGGGCTGAAAATGTGTGCTCACAGCCCAGAAAACCAACTATATCCTGGACTGCACCTAAAGCAAGGAGAAAAATGGTTCTCCCCCTCTGCTCTGCCCTCCTGAGACCCCACCCGGAGGACTGTCCAGCTCCAGGGTCCCCAGCTCAGGAAGGACATGGGCCTGTTGGAGTGAGTCCAGAGTAGGGCCACAGAGATGATCAGAGGGCTGGAACATCTCTCCTATGAGGAAAAGCTGAGACAGTTGGGACTGTTGAGCCTGGAGAAGGTTCCGGGAAGACTTTATTTCCAACTTTCAGTATCTGAAGGGAATTACAAGAAAGATAGAAACAAGCTTTTTAATAGGGTATGTAGCAATAGGACAAGGGGCAATGATTTCAAACTAAAAGAGAATACATTCAGACTAAATATAAGGAAAAAATATTTTAAAAGGAGGGCGGTTAAACACTGTTGGAAACATTCATGTCCAGATTGGACAGGACTCTGAGCAACCCTGAGGAACAGCCAACTTGCATAGAAGACTCTATGAAATAGTTTATCTCAGTAAATACAGTGCTAAACATAGGAGTCTGCTTCACACTGTATGAGTTCTTTTGCTTTAAGTCTCGGTGTAGGCAGCCTTATTGCATACTAAGGAAGCATACACACCGGGAAATAGGCAAAAGTGGCTACTATACTGATCAATGCTTACCTTGCTAACTGCAAATTAACTTCCTTACAGGTACAACCTTCTTTCCATCAGTGGGAGTGTTGCTGTCCTTTTTCCTAATTATCAGTTCAGATTTCACAGAGAAATCGAATTATTATAAATGCCCAAATCATATAACAGTGTCCCAAGCTATAATTTACAATAGTAGCTATAATTTACGATAGTTTTAATATAGCATTTGAGCACAATTATGCTCTGCAGTGGGACCTTTTCTAAAAGAAAACATTAAACTCTTTTGAACATAAATAACTAATTCAAATGTTTGCTTATGCCTCATGCTAAAAAATGGCTAGCAGAGAAAATTTGTCATATTAATTCTATGATATCCTGAAAGCTTCTTTTAACTTTGTGGTCAAAACAACTCATTTTTCCCCAGTCACCAGGGTTGAGAGCTCAAACAGAAAATGTCACAATAACCCAAGTTTCTGGAACAGCTTCTTAGAATTTGCTAGTAGCAGCCATAAATCAGAGAAAGCCAAACCAGAAATGATAAGAAAGTGTAAACTCTCCTCTTTCAAGTGTTCCACTGCAGAATCCATTTTGCGTCCAGAATGTGTGTTAGGCAAGATGATTTCACTTCTTCAGGCAGCCTGATAACAGAAGATTATAATCTTACTTGAGATTTAGATGTTTCATGGGGTTATTTAAGATCTTACCAAAGTTAAAGGATTATTCCTATTAATACAAAACAGTCCATGAGAGTGCAGCAGACAAAACAACTGACACATTATAATGGTACAAATCAGTAAAATCGAAACATTGAACAAACCTGATGAGGGAATGACTAAGACAGTAGTGAGTAACAGCCTGTCTGGTATGTCTGAAAATGAAAGCTGATGGTTAAACTTCTGACAAAGGCATAAATTATTTGTTCTTTCCTACAGTATGCAGAAAGTCTTACTGGTAGAAGGTAGTACAAATTTGCATCAATTTTGCATTTAGAATATATTAGATCTATGCAAAAAAAAAATCCAATAGAGTATGATCAGTTGCTTAATATAAAAATATATTAGAAATTAAATTCTTAAAAAAAATTTCTTGCAGACAATATGGCAGTTTATTTTCATGATCTTTCCTGAATTTAATTTCAGATCTGAAGTTACACCTCCAGACTACAGACTATGGCAACTTCTTGGCTAACGAAACTGGCCCTCTCACTGTTTCCACCATCGATGAAAAACTGAAAACAAAACTACTCACAGAATTTCATTACTTTAGAAACCATGCTTTTGAACCACTTGCCACTTTTCTGAATTTTGTCACGTAAGTAATATTACCACATAGCTTACCACATAGTAGTAAAATAGCTTACCACATATCACACAGAAAAAGCAGTTAAATAGTGTAAATGCAATATATTGGAATTTCTACTAAGCTTTAAAAAAACAGCAAAATTACTTTGATACTGCTACATTTACATACTTTGCTTGCTACTATAAATTCTGAAACTGTATGTGTATATGAAGAGCTATTGTCTTTGCATCTAATTATTTTAAAGAACAGAAGCAGTTTTCTTTATGTGAACAGTGGCAGAAAAATTAATTAATTAAAAAATTATTACAATTTTCAAACACTATTTAAGTCAGATAACTTAGAAAACTACATTGCGGAGGGATGTAATTCATGAAAAAAATAATAATTTAATGATGTACAGGGAAGTGATTTAATTCCTAGGCATGTGGCAAATTGTATGCCTTTTTTAAAGGGGGAAAGACAACATATCCTACATCTGTCATAATTTTTATACTATTTGAACCAAATAAAATAAACAGGGAGACTTTATATGGCATGTTGCAAGGTACTTGGAGCCAAGTAGCTTTATTTGAAAGTTTGGCTGCTGTTTGATGCTGGATGAAGAGAAACCTCTGATCTCAATACCATCATAAATAGATGAAACTTGCAAACAAGTGGCTTAAACAACTTTAAGAACAAGGATCTGCTTTATAACAGTATAACAACACAGACTAGCAAAATACTAGCATGATATTTTACCTAAATACTCCCTTTGATCTTATACTTTTAATATATTCTAACAAGAACAATTAACTGTTCAACTAAATTTCAAGGACCATTTTTATTATAACTGTAAAAATGAAAGTATCTTTTTTCTTCTGGTCATGTGTAGCTGACCACTTTTAGGCTGATATATTAACAGGATGTTAAAGGCTGTCCTAGGATGCCTGTGGGCAAACAATGTTTACATTTTGTTTCAAGGAAAGAAAAATGGAAGCATGAAGTTTTGGCAGTTCTTTTCTCACACTCATTGACATAAATGTATAGATGTGTATGCACAGTCTTTGCTCATTGCTGGTTTTTTTTTTAATAATGGGTACACTGGTTAAAGATATTTCACACAAATCGTTGAACTACATTCCACCAGATCTTCAAGCCCGAGTCACATATGCTGGGTGAGAACATATTAATCTTGTATGTTTCTAGCTGTGTTCTTAGTCAACAATGAGAACTCAAGACTGGCATTCAAGAGAATTTCCGAGTCACTGACAAGACTCTTCTCAGCCCCTTTGACACTAAAACTAGTATAAAGCTGATAGAAAACTTCTACTCAAAAGAAAAAATTACATAATACAGAAGAAATCTGTAAGAGCCTGTATTTAGCTCCCTCATGGGAAGATGTTTAAAGCTGAGTGAGAAGAAAACCTAAGACTGGACCATCTACATGACCTCTGCAGTTTTAGTGCCAAGATTCCCATGTACTTCTTTGTCCAGATGGCATATATTAAATAAAAAAAATACCAAACTTGAAAAGTTGCTAGCTCAGGTGATTTGCTTTGGATACCACTCATTGTCACTTGTTACAGTGAATCTACATCTCTCACCTGTTATGTTTATTACAGTCATGCATCAGTACCACCTTCTTTAAAAGTGTACATTTTCTAAATCAGTCATTTCAGTCAGGTATCAATCAGGTTTAAAACTAGTGCTGTGTTATCTACTTGCTGTTTTAAAACTCTGTTGATCTTTGATGAGCTATTGATACAGAATGCACATACATTCTGATAACACTTCAGTATTATGGCTAATTTTCAAAAATGTTGGCTTTTTATTTTGTCAAGTGAAAGCTGATTATAAAAATAATTTATTTTTGCTTTTTCTTTCCAATACAGATACAGCTATATGATTGATAATGTAATTCTTTTAATAACTGGCACATTACATCAACGACCCATAGCTGAACTTGCTCCCAAGTGCCATCCATTGGGGAGCTTTGAGCAAATGGAAGCAGTCAGCATTGCCTCAAACCCTACTGAACTCTTCAATGCAATTTTGGTTGACACACCATTAGGTAAAAACATGGAATTTTTTTTTTTTTTCAAAACTACTAATCCTGTGTTCTTTAGAACAGGATGTTTCCCACTGGATATTCTGTGTTTTGGCAACACAAATCTTGAATTGTAGATCAAGAACATCTGAAGCTGTGCTCAGGACATATTCTATTAACATTTATTAATAGTTTCTATATCCACCTTGGGTAGCAGATTCAGAAAAAACATGTTACTCAAGAAGTGCAATGTATATCTTTTCTATTCTAGTCACTGATTTAAAACATATATGTTTTTATTTCAACACCTACATTGTATTAAAAAATATGTCTTCACTAAGGATCAAGCAGACAGCTACTAATAAATATTAGATGTCGTGGTAGAACCAAGATTCCCTCTTGAGATTTGGGCATGGTTCAAATATAAAGAAAAGTCTTATTTTGAAGAATTAAATCTAAGAGCAAAGTGTAACGTTTGGGAATGTCACATTATGAAATTAAGATGAAACTCTGCTCAGTGTGGTGCAGCAGCCAACACGAACAAAACCTAATAGCCTGTGAAGGGCACTGAGAATAAGACAGAACTGGATGTATTTGAATGTATATGAAACCATTATGTGCCTTCATCTTCAGTACTGTGAGAGGTTTTGGGTTCTGCTTCTCAAATAGGTGAGATAGGTTGGCCTCAGACAGAAAAAATTCCCAACCAGCCACTTGCTCACCCCCTACTCTCAGCACAATGAAGGGGAGAAAAAAGGTGGAAAAAATAGATTGTGGGTTGAGATCACCCACAAAGTACTGTTGAAGGCAAGCCAGACTAAACCTGTGGGGAAATTAACTTGATTTATTACTGATTTATATATGTATGACATTAATTAATTACTGATTCAGATATATAAGGAAACAAATAGAAAATAATGAAACATTTAGAGGAAAACTTGGAGAAACTTGGGGAAAATACCTTTCTTCCATCCTTTTCTGCTCCTTCATGCCAGGCTCCTCCCCTCTGCCCTCCTGTTATCCCTACAGGTTACACTGCATCCCTCCAGACAGGCAGGGCAGTCACAAAGAGCAGGGGGGGGTTAGAGCCATAGAATCATACAATGGGTAGGAAGTGAGACAAAAAATCATCTAGTTCCAACACCCCTGCCATGGGCAAGGACACCTTCCACTAGACCAGGTTGCTCAGAGCCCCTTCCAACCAGGCCTTGGATAATCCCAGGTGGGCCCCCTTCAGATACACCTGCTTGACTGAGGGGCTTGGCTGTGCCCTTGGTGGGTCCCAGCTGGAGCTGCCTGTGCCCAGCAGAGCCCAGTCCTGCCTTTCCCTCTCAGAGACCACCCTGCAGCACACTGCCACCAGTGCCTGGGCACTGGTACACTGTACAGTGAAATCAGAGAAGGGACAGAGCAGGACAGCTAAAATGAACAGTGCTGCCATGTGTAGACAGACTGAAAAGTCCAGACTGCAGTTTGGAGTGGACAAAGCTGATGAGAGATATTGAAAAGGTTTACAGATTCCTGAGAGCAGTGGTTTGTTCACAGTGAGTTATGAACTGCTGCTTACCAAATCCTTCAGAAGACCAAGTACCAGCAGAAAAATAATTTTAAAAGGTGAGCTAAACCACTGTTTTCACACAGCTGGTAGTAAATTTCTGGAATTTTTTTCTTTTTTTTTTTTTGCTAAACTAGTTCGTAAAAGAAGAGAGTGTTAGTTCTCTAAAGTCGTGGGACAAATTTGTGGGCAATAGATCTATAAGGAGATACTGAAGGGAACACTCAGGGCTATACTTCCTGATATTCTCCATTCAAACTCTGGATGCTGGAAAAGTAGGAAGGGATAAGACCACAAAACATGGCCGGGCTCACATCCTTTCTGTAAATACCATCTTCCATTGCCACTGCTTGGGAAAACACTTCTTCATATGGTACTGCTCTGCCCCACTGGGCTAGCTCAGGAACAGCAAGAGGTTATGAATATCGTATTTTTATATGGTCCAGCTGCACAAGTGAAATTCATCCACTGCCTCCCTGCTCAAAAGCTTGCTCTTTAGCTAGTTCTGCCAAGGACCCATAACCACAGGTGGTCAAGGTCAAAGCATGTGCCCTTTATCAGCTGCAACCTGTTGCCTTTCCTACACTACATATGCAAAGAAGAAAACGGAAAATACAAAAGAGGATTCTCCTTAACAATTGCAGAATACTTGCATGATTTCAGACAAAAATTATTTTTCATGGCCCTTACTAGAAAATCTCCATAATATCCAAACTATATACTTTAGGGAAGATTAGGGCTTTCATTAGCATTCCCATTTGATTCCCTCTGGAGACATGGGCTATGGCTGCAGCACTGATTGATTCCCCTCACTGCAGATTCTCATTAAAAAGGAGGGGATAGGAGGATAAGGGGAAAATCAAGCAGATTTTTCTTCCTCTCTATTATATCACCCTTTCTCGTACAACATAACCCTTGGATCTTGCTCACACACTGGTGAGCAATGGACAGGAGATGTATATTATCAACATGCAGATATACAGTGCTATGTTATAAATTCTGCTTTCAGCTGCTTTTTTTCAAGACTGCCTGTCTGAAAATGACCTGGATGAAATGAACATTGAAATAATGCGCAACAAACTGTACAAGGCAAGTTTTCACACCAAAATGATAATATTTGGGGTTTATCAAATGTCTCAGGAAAGCAGGTCAGTATCATTAACCCTGTTTTGTGGATGGGGAAACAGAAATATGGTGAGATGAAGCAAGCTGTCTAAGGTCATCTGGTTGATTTCAAGTCCCGAAATGAAACCCAGCTGCTTCCATTTCTACTCCACTGTTTGGGGACTTTTCAAATTTTAGGTCTGCATCCAAATTCTAATTTAATACCTCATTAATGAAAATGCTCTAGATGTCAAGATAATATCCAGATCCAGATTTGTTTATGAGTAACTCAGCCACCAAATGCCAGAGAACTCTTAGCTCCTCAGTGAGGAGACTGGTTTTGGCTAACATCTATCTTTATTTATATAAGGAAGATGAGATTTAAAGGGTCTAATGGTTTTGAGTGTAGCTAACATGAATTTTACTTAAGGATTTAGTACAATTTTCTTACTTTAAAAAATAATTTTAAGCATTGTTACAGCACAGTGCTGCAAGGATATGCACCTAACATGGGCCTTGCATTTTCAAAGTACTTTACAAATCTTCACACACAAGTCACTACTGTTACAGTGGTCTCTTTAAAGGCTATACATACCCCAATCCATTTCTCCATCTTTCTTTTACAGTGGATTCCCCAGATTGCAGGAAGTATTTTTACAGTGATCCGATTGCACTAGGGGAAAAGAAAATAAAATTCTGTTTGTCTTACAAATGATATTTTTAAATTCCAAAGCCAATTTTTAATTCTTAAAGCATTCACTAATTCGCTCATTCAATACAACATCAATTATGCCTACATATATTAATTTTTAAACGTATTTTAATTCTTTCACAGCACTACTATACTAGACACTTTTTCCAATTTAGTAGCATACATATTTGATTTCTATATCCTGTGAGGATGTCCTTATATTAACACTTATCAAATCTATTTTTTTTTTCTTCTTGCTCATCTAAGTATTAGGAGGACTATTCTGCAAACACTAATAAATTATTAATAGATAATTTCTCCTTTACTTCAGCTGTCAATGTGATCAATTTCTTCTGCTCTACTATCAGATAGCACTATACAGAACCTAATGCATAATTCCATGCAGTAGATCCCCCTTGAGATGACTCTACTTAAAATTCACTTAATTGCATAGCTAGCGACAGCTCCTAACAAGATTGCGTGAAGTTGTAGCAAATGCATTTTAACATAAATGTTCTCTAATGCCATATTTTGGGAGACTGAGAAGCAGGCAGAACAGCATCTTGGATATATTTCATGTCCTTCCTGCACAGGTATTTTGAAATGGGTGCAGATGCCAGAATCCTTAATAGACCACAGGGCTCTGCAGGCCAGTATTACAGAAGCTTTGTCTGCTGTTCTGGCCTAATCCAGGGTTTAGGGTAGAGCAGTAGGGATTAGTTTGTGTATCCTCATCCTGCTGGCCCAACAGCCATGGCATATGCCCAAATCCCCTCCTCCACACACTATAAATGAAGAGTTTCCTTTAGCCATCTGCTTATTATGCAGTGGGAGCTCAATGGAGCTCAAAAAGTTCCTTCTTTAGAGAGCAAGTAAAACATAATATTTTTCTTATTACAATTTTTGGAAACATTTGACCTCAAATTGTAAAAAGAAGACATTTGCATTTGAATGTTTCAACTTTCATCTGAACTAAGTAATTAAGCACATACTTAAAATTTAAATTCATAGGTGTAATTATCAAAGTTAATGGAAGTATTTAAAAATTGGATTCATGGCTATGTGCAATCCTGGTCCAGGTCTTAAGCAGCATTTAAAATATTTCTCTTCTTCTTTCATGTAGTCTTACCTCGAGGCATTTTATAAGTTTTGTGAAAAACAAGGTGGTACTACAGCAGAAATAATGAGACCTATTCTTGAGGTAAGAAACATTCAATCTTTATGCATTAAAGTACTCCACAATGTTTTCATAATTGTCTCACTTTGTTCTTCCTGTTCAATTTCTCTCAATTTGTAAAGGTAACTGTGAAATGTTTGCTTCTCCTCTAAATATATCTGTTTTTTCTAAGATGTAATGAATAGTGTATTCAAAGATGACTTTTACTTTTTACTAGAAAAGCAGCTAGACCATTACTAAGGAGGAGACAGTCTCAGTTATCAGAGAGCAGAAAAGAAGAAATAGTTCACTAATCACAACCTGTTGCCCTTTAACATTTCTCTCCACTGTGTAGAAAAGCCAAAAATGTTGATTATTGATTTTGGGATAGCTAAAGCCTGGCATTACTGTCTATTTACTAATCAATAATCTTCAAGCTTCATGTCACTGATACGTTTGTTTACTTTCCTATTAAAATTAGTGATTGAGGTTAGAGTTGAGTGACCTTTGGAATTAGTGTCATATAAAAATAGAACATTCTGTGTTATATTTTTGCCTCAACTCAGCAAAGTTTAATATCTTTTTCCATGGCATACAAAGTTCCCAATGTCCTCCCCCCAAAGCATACATGCATCTAGTGAATGATATTTTTATCTCTGTTTTTTTTTAATAAAAGATAAAGAAATTTCTAAAATTGAATTCTCAGCATTCAGGTCCCCTTTTCCTTTTTTTTTTTTTTCTCACTTAGTCTATCACAATTCTTTGCAGAGGCTGACAGTCAGACCACCCACTTGCTGCCAGGAGTCTTTTTTTCTGGATAATCAATTTTACACCCTGGAAACCAAAAAAATTCACTGATGAGGTCTGATGACGTCATACTGAAAGTTTGCATTTAGAAGAGAGATAATAACCCTGGGAGCTCATTCCTGAGGGAAGAATGTGTCTGAATTACATTTAACAAAATAATGTCCTAAAAGGGATGGCAATTTCCTATTTTCATTAAGCAGGTCACAACGTTTCAATTTATGCTCTAAACAAAATTCTCTTAATCAAGTTAAATTGAATAGAAAATAAGTATTTTGACTTTTCTTAGAAATAAAAAGCAAGAGATTGTCTGGCATAGCTGATTCAGATTTTTCAGAAAGTTTGTTTTTAAATATGAATTCATGCTCAGTGCAGATTACTTACTAACATTAGTTAAAGCATGTGGTAAAACTCCCTTTATATCAGTGGTAAAAATTTAGCCTATGATAAGCTTCTTTAAAATCCCTATCTAATGTCAATCACCCAGGAAGATAAACTTTTCTATAGAAGATTTCCATTTCTATAACATTTTATTAACCTGAAGAGACACACAGAACAGGCTGCTAATGGTTGGAGTCAGAAAAAACTCACAAGTTTAATTATTGAAAAGAATACTTGCTATTTATTTTGTAATCTTATATGTAAGGCTACCAACCTGACCCTACAGATGAGGCTGAGGTATTTATCTCCCCAGCTCCTTGACCACCACATGCGCCAAATTTCCTTATTAAGAGTACTGGTGATCTCTTTTCCACCATGGACAGCACATGCTGCTTGTTTAGCCCTGAATCTGGCAGGAAACTGCAGGACTGCACTGCAGCTAAAGTTCTGTCTGCTAGCATGGCCCCGTGCTAAATTCTGACCCACATGCAAACATGCACTAAGGAAATGGAATCAGTCATCCTCTGATTCCACTTCTACAGAGACCCTCATGTGCCAATAGTTTGATGAATTGAGAGGTCTGAGTGGATGGGAGTTATTGTGAAAATTTTCTCAAACTGGAAGCCACAAGAAGCAGAGCCCACACCTGCTACCATTAGTTGCAATGCTTCTAATGCTTTTTATCAACAAAATATTACACATCTAACACCTAGATTCTACATGGCTTTAACAAGTTGAAAAAAGAAAGCATTTGTCTTTCTAAAATTGTTTCAGTAGGTCTAATAGGCTTATTTTATCAATTAAGGAAGTGAAGTTTGGCCCTGTTATTCATTAGCTAGAAATCCTTTCAAGCACGCTTATTTTCGTCTCATTACTTCTTTACTGTTTACTCCTTCTCCTTACTTAGAAGTCAGCACCAGCGGGTAGCAAGTTCCTGTTATTGTGTGTTCCCATACACAAGAGTAGATGAGAATATGTGTTTACTGGCTAAAGTGGCAGATTAGTGTTGCAAATGCAGCCTTATTATTCAAATGAAAAGAGCACCTCTCTCTTGAACTAGCTCAAATATTCACAGAATAAGAAATTTTGTAAGCCGCCTAAAATGTGTGTATACTATATATACACTTCATTGTGAAGATTTTCCCTGTGTAATCCCTGCAATCAGCAAGGGCTCTGCTGTTCTTAGAACATGAAAGTAACAAATAAAGGAAAAAATTAAAACCACAGTCAATTTAGATCTCCAGACAGAAGAAATGATTGTTTTTATTTACTACTGCATTTTTAAGTCATACCGTAAGAATGATAAGTGAAATTTTGCCTTGTGAAAATAAGAACCCAAGGGCTCGACATTGGATTGCCTTTCAGGCTGCTGCTGCAGTAAAAATACAGATACTACAGGCATCTAAACCTGATAGAAGAAATATAGCCTTTGATTCTATCTATTAAAAATTAACTGTTATTTAAACCACTTAAAACTTTAACTTGGCAAGTAAGCTGCTCCATTCTCCTTATCAAAGTATCTTTTTAAACATGTGCATTGAGAAAATACACTTTTTTTAGGATTTTCCTTCAACTTTGACTATCAACAGCACTTTGAGTTATGGGCATTACTATTGATTCTTGGCCCTTTCCTTTGTTAGTTTTATTTATAAGATCATTATTTAATAATCTTATGCATGAGTATGTGAAGATATTTTTTTCTTGTCAACATCTGGGTAAAAAAGGAGGGAAATGAAGAAGCAGCAGAAATTATACTTTTAGAACAAAAAATATAAATAACAAGAAATCACAAAATAAAAGCTGTAGTTGCAAAATCTTGTTTGATTTTCTAGTTAGAATTTAATTAATATTTGCAAAGAAGAACTTGCAATTTCAAAAATAAGGTATGTTTCCAATGCTCTCAAATTGACTTCTTAAAAAAAATTAAATTTCCATAGTTTGACTTACTTAAAGAAACCCAGAACATACCCACCCTAATTTAGAATGAGATGTCTAATGGCACCTCTTTATTCTTTGTTTTGCATATTAAGTTTGAGGCAGACAGACGGGCTTTTATCATCACCATTAATTCATTTGGCACTGAGCTGAGTAAAGATGACCGAGAGAAGCTGTATCCAACCTGTGGAAAACTTTATCCAGAAGGCTTACACCTGTTGGCCAATGCAGATGACTACGAGCAAGTGAAGCGTGTTGCAGAATATTATGCAGTATGTAAACTAATTTGTTAAAACAAAAAGCCAATATAAAAATAGCTAATTAACATGTCCTGACATCAGCAAAATTTTTAAGAGTATACATGTAAGTTAAAAGAATTTTCAAGAGGAAAAAAGTCAGCAGAGGTACTAAAGTTCCCATAAAAAAGTGTATGGGATCAAAGACTTTTGATATGAAGAGATAAGATTAAGATAAGACATTATTACATTACTGCAGTACAAAGTTCCTCTTACAAAGATGTTTAAGTAAGAGCAAATCACATCTAGTAAATAAAACTCTTCTTACTCCATTCACCCTCCCCAAATTGAGTTTCACTTAATTTCTTCTGCCTCCAAGATTTTGGAGCACAGTCAAACTCAGCTGACCAAACAATTCATGTCATTGATTAGTCAAACCTGATTTATTGCCAGTATATCCTAAGAATTCCCTTCTGAAATGTGTTCTCTAAATCACTAATTGATTCAAAGAAGTAGATGAAAATGTGAATATTGATGCAAATATTGCTTTTATTAAAGAATATTTAATCTGCAACACTTGATCTATGAATTAATAAATCAAGTGTTGTAGATTAACTAATCTCTTGTACTCTGTTGCACTCTGTCTAATTATAATATTTAAGCTACCTCTAAGCAGGTACACAAAAAAATGTCTGGTCTATTTCTTTTTCCACAAAAAAAAAAAAAAAAAAAACCACCTCACGAAGGTGGAGCTATGCATCTGCTCCTATGCATAAGCAGAACATAACCAAAAGTTATCATGTCAGTGAGATATGGAGCAAGACTGTCCATGACATGGTGGGTTATTTAGATGAATTTGGGAACCATTGTCGTAGACCTCTACTACACTCCTACATTAAGGGAAAAACAAACCACACACACATAGGATGAAATTACACAGAAACATAACACCTAAGAAATCAAATCAAATATATCTGCACGGGATATTCCAGGATGACAAATCAGATTAATGGATTTGGATACAATATTAATGCAGGTAAAGCAAATCCAGCTGACTACTGGAAATAAATAGGAGCAGCCATATGATGATCAGAGTTCAGTATTTTGGCTCCATTTAGAGCTCTGGTTCTGATGGATACTATTTGCACAAGAAATTCAGTGCTCTCTACGCAAAGGAGTGAAAGGTCACATGTCATTCCACAATAAGCCTCTTTTAGTGCCTTCAGTAAATTACTTGAAATTGTTGGAAATGATGATAAGAAATACAAGAACAAATCTGATTTTTCTTTCTGTTGCTGATTATATGCTTTTAACTTTTGATTTATGTAGAATTGTAATCTGTACAGGAGGTATTCTATACAGAAAGATTACTTAACAAAGATTAATTTACAAAGTAATGTAAGGTGTCTATGTCTGTGCTGCACAGAATGCAAAAGTACCTTATTTCCATGAAGTGGTTGTCTGTGCTTTTAGGATTACAAGGCTGTGTTTGAAGGTGTAGGGAGTGGCACTGGAGAAAAGACACTGGAAGACGCATTTTTTGAACATGAGGTAAAACTTCTAGCCTTAAAATACAAAAATGAATGTTACTCACATGGAATAAGAATTAAAACAAGAATGAGGTACCAGGCTTTTAATTCTACTGTGCTGCTTCCTATTCAAGAACATGGATTTTTGATGGCTGTCAACATTTGGCTGAATCAAAATAGAAGAATTTACCTTTTTATGTAAAATTAATCCTATATTGTTCTTCTGAAGACTCTTTACAGAGCTATCAATCCTGATAGCCTATCCAAAAAGCTATCTCATAAACACCATTTAATTAAATTTCTTTTGAGTAATCTACTAAAGTATTTCACCACTGTCTTTTATTTCCTGTAATATTGCTGTAGTCTATTACCAAAATTATTCCACAGATGACATTTCAATTAGAGTGATACTCAAGAGATTGTTAAATATAATCATGGTTACAAAGCTGCAAGACATCTTGAACATAAAAGCTACCATATAAAAATCCCATTCTACTTCCTTGATATTTTATCATAACACTTGTTTCATCTTTTCTGCAGGTAAAGCTGAATGTGCTTGCATTCAACAACCAGTTTCATTTTGGAGTATTTTATGCCTATGTGAAGTTAAAGGAACAAGAATGCAGGAATATTGTATGGATTGCTGAATGCATTTCTCAGAGACACAGAACCAAAATTAACAACTACATTCCAATTTTCTAAATCTGAGAATCTATGATGCTTGAAAAGATACATAGAAAAGAAGAAAAATCTTATTTCAAAAATTAACTCTTATCAGACGTGTTAAATTTTATTAATGAGCCTCCTTATATACATCACCATAGGAAAAAAGTAATGCAATTAGAGATACAAGTACTTCTTAAGGAAATACTAATGGGTTTATTCACAAATTTGCTGGTAGATTTGTTCCCCACTGTGCCTATTTTAATTTAATTGATCAATAAAAAGCTCCTGTAATGTCTTACATATATACTCTTTCTCTTTTGTGGAACCAAGACTTGTATCAACAACATTTGAAAAGATCTTTAATGGCTTTTATTTTTAATTAATGTTTTTCTCAAAGGGCCAATTAAATTACTACTTCTATCTCACAGGGTCTTTCTTATGGCATACAGATTGTATGAAGGACTTAATACACAAATAAGAGAGAAACTCTGAAATTGCCCTTAACAAATCTGAAGGGGAAGCTTCTTGATCTTAACTGTGATTCTTTTCTGCAACTAAATGTAAATAAGTAACTTCAGTATCATTAAAATGTTTTTATTTCTTCCTTTATGGTCAAATGAGGAGCACCCTGTGTCAAACAATGGGGGTCTGATCTAGTCCACAGCAAAAAAAATATCCCCTCCCAACACACCAAAGAATTGTCTTTATGTATGCACTAGAGAAGATTATGAAACATGAATGAAAATGCCAACCAAGTCTGTATCAGTTTTACATCAGACACAAACAACACCAGCTCTGAGCTATTTGAGGACCTGGCTAGGATCAGTAACTAAAAATAGAGGGAACAGTTGAAGCCAGATTGTAGCAGGACAAGATTAATTCTGCCGAAGAAAAAGGGAAGATTTTGAAAGCTTTATTGAGGTTCTGCCTTCCTACTTTATTCGAAGAATTTGCCATTTTATCTTTCAAACAGGTCATACTTTGATTTTCTGTATGACTTCCCAGTTTCAGGCTGCACAACAGCAAATCTCACTCTTCAGCTGGCTGTTCCTCCAGTAAGTATGATATAGAAATACAATCAATTTCCTGCTGAGTGGACAAAAAAAAAAATTCTGATGTCAACACCTCAGAATTATGGAAAACATTCAGGCATCATGATCTTAAAAACTGAGATACAATATAGCTCTCTCTGCAATATGTAAATGTGCATATGCATTCATACATAAAAAGTAATAAACGTTGTGGGTTTTTTATAAAACCACACTTCTTGAACTGCAAATAACACCAAAGGGCCATATCCCATAACATCCTATACTCATTTAATGCAGAATTGAGATGATTTTAATACTTTGCTCTATTGTGAATACCAGACAACCTTATATTATGACTTTAAAAAATATTTTCATAGGTTAATTTAGAAATAATTTGGTATGAATTTGGAAAAATTGACTAAAAATTTATAAGTGCATAAGACAAGAATACAAGTCTTACTTCTAAAACAAGGCATATATCTTTAGTAGATCCAGCAATTCAGAAAAAAATTGAAAGTAACAAAAAGGGAATTTATTTCCAAATCTAATCTGTGATCAGTGCTTTCATGTACCACAAACTGCATCGCAAACTACTTCACAAGCTGCAGTGGAGAAAGAAATAGAAAACATTGCCACAAATTTGTAGATTTTTCTATATTTGCATTAAAATTACATGAAACTCTATGTATGCATTTAAAAAATGTTTGGAGCAGAAGAATAATAAAGTCAAGTGGTCTGGGACACAGAAACTTAATGCAATTCAGTACAGGGAATGAATACTTTTTCTGTACTGATAAATCAGGCCTCCTTACTCAAACAAAACAAATGAGCTGACTTTCTGCCAAGAAATTTCTGAAGTGATTTGAAGGGGAAAGAATCTGCTCTCCACCCTAAATCATTCTGTGCCAGGGAAGATATGCAGCTGCTGTTGCTACAGTCTGGATACTGTTGGCTCAGAAAGAAGTGAGCAGGAATTGCAGCTTTCATGACTGTGTTGTCAGCAGAATTGGTCTTTAGACTATGGAAAGGACAGCATCAGTTTTGATTGATGCTTTTTTCAAAACAAATGTCTAGATATTTGCCAAATGAGGACAGTATGTAATAGACCTCAATTATATTTAATTCAAGGACAAGCAAACTAGGACTTTAAATTTCTCAAAATCTTTTTTTATAAATAATATATTTTACATTACTCCCTTGTTAGTAAGATAGTCTTCATGCTGTTGTATATATAAATATAAATCTATAGACCTATAAATCTATAAATATAGATATATAAAATAGAATTATAGAGTTTGCTGAGTTGGAAGGAACCCAATATAAAGGGGATATAAAGGCCATATATCATCTCCAACAAGAGCTTATAGTGGAAGTTCAGATCACAGAATCACTACCAAGGGCATCATTAACTTCTTGATGGTAATGTCAGCCTATAACACAGGGGAACAGGAAGCAGCCACTTTTCATCTTTTCCCTTTCGCCTCCCAACAAGAACTTGTGTTCACACTCTTTAATGGCTGAGCCTATCCAGAGGAATTTGTTCAGTATGATTATGGTGACTATGCCCCTTGGGCTGTGTCTTTAATGAGAGATGGAGATCAGGACCAGGAACGAGTTCCTGGTGGGCTTTGAGAGCTGTGAATCTTTCTTTCCCATCTTTGCCTGAGCTGTAGCTCAGGCTTGATGTGTTTGCTATCTGCTCACAAGCAGCTGGGCAGCACAGAACTGTGGATAGATCGGGCTGTGGTGTTCCAAGCAATTCCCAGGCCCAGTCCCTCCGTCCTGCATGAATTACTGTGTTAGACGTCTTTGCTAAGGACTGGAGATTTATAGGATGAATCATATCAGCATGTGGTCATAAGACTTTCTCTGGACTCACAGTCAGCTGAGAATAGTAGAATCTCTTGTTCTGGTTTTGTCAATTCCAGCATGACTTTCAGGAAACACCAAAAACAATCCAGAGACAGCTGGCCAGTGTTTGGATTTGCACCAGATTTGTAAAGCTATTATGATGAATACAACCATAATAGTTTAAACAAGAAAAAGGATGAAATCCATTGATTTGCTGGACAGCTAGATTGATTTACTGAGGAATGTGGAGAAATATGTAATAAAAATCATGGGCAAAAATAAGTGATAAATGGAAATAATATCTATCAGGCAGTTAAAACAATTTACATGACACAAAACATCTTCTCAAACAAACAGAAATTCATTCAATATGTTGGAATGTCTCCCAAATGAAAAAGTAAAAATAAAAATATGATTCAAGAAATAAAAAGACAAAGCTCTCAAAGGGAAAAAAAATGATGTTTATAGCACACTGCGAGGAATATTTGACTATTAGGAATCCATATTCTACAATTATTTTAAGCATTACTTAAGAAAAATGTATTCTCTGGAAGTTAATTACCTGTTCTAACCTGCTACTTATAAAATGTAACAGCAAATCAGATTGATTGAAAAGGAACAGGTAGAACTTTCAAGGTCATTGATAAGATAACAGCTGTATATATTTTTTCCAATACAGAAAAAGTACACATTCCTATGTAATTAATATTATATTGAAAAAGTATATACTCTTTTTACTTTGTGTCTCACTGCTTTCTGAAAGTTCTGCTTTGCAAACAATGCATGTACACACACGCACACACATCCATGCGTGTCAGCTACAGAATTTTCTACTGAGTCATATATCTGCTGTAAACTGAGAGAGCAACCATTGGGTAAATCAATCTAGAACAATGTAAAAGTTTTTCCTTCACAAAACCTTTTTTACCAGTGAAAATTTGAAAAACAATTCAAATATTTGAAAGATTTGTAATAAATTCATTGAGGCCAAATAAAGCAAACTCTTTTTGCATTTTCAACTAAATTGATTCAAACCATTTTCACCATACAACACAGCACAAGAGGCAAATGAGAGCACTCAAATAATTACAAGCCTATCAGACCTATGAATTTAAGGTCATGTTTATTTATAGTAAATATTAGGACACAAATAAATTCCAAATTAGTCTAAACAATATGTTGTAAAACGTATTAAAAAAATATAAAATTGTTCTATGTCTCAAAGAAAAACCAAATAAAGGACTTAACAAAAACATGTAATGACATACAGCAAAAGCTACTGTAGTTAATAGTCCTATGGGAATAAATGACAATGCTCCAACTGAATATAGTGGGAGCAGGGTTAGAGCCTTCAGGTGAGTAAATGGCTTTACAGTTTATGTGAAAAACCTGAATCTGTCCTTCAAACTGCTCAGTGTGGCAGGGTCCTGCAGCAGCAGGATGCTGTGACAAATATTGTGCCTGGTAGTAACCAGCATGGTCACTGTGCCCAGCAGAGGTCATAGCAGACTGAGCAGCTGACTGAAAAAGATCACATTTTCTTAGAACCCTTAGATGAATTTATGTTGATGACTCCTCATTGGCAGGAGACAATAGTTGAGAAGTTTTGCAAACATTATTATCACCAGTTCCCTCTCTGGTGTCTACAATAGAGTGTTTCTGAGTGGGTGCACTTCAGTTCAGATCCAGAGGATTGATCACCTAATTAAACAGACCTATTTAATTTAGTTTATGGGATCCAGCTGCATGTACACTCCTCATTTTGCTCAAATAAACATGCAGAAACCAACTGGGAAAGCCACTGAAGCCAGGGAAAGCCACTGCTTTTAAAATGCTACTAAAAGTGACTGCCTAAAATAATGTTATGGATTCCATATCAAAATCTTATTTCTGTCATTCCAAAGAAAAGAGTCTGTCATTTAAAGGTATGAGCTTTAATATTTTTCTCTTAAAACCAGCAGTAACAGTTTGCAGCCTTCACCACCACAGCAAGGCTGTCACTCTGAATGTCATCATAGCACTGTTACTTTTTTCTTTTATAGTTTTTAGATCAGTTCTTGCTATTGAATCATGATAAATGATACAGTTTGTAATTTCATCTCTCAAGATTTGCCCTCACCAAAGCACAAGCCAAGTCTTGCACTAAAACAAACCCTTGCCAAAAGTATTAACTCACAAATCAAAATGCCAGCCTTTCCAATCAGTCCTACTCATTCTAACTCCATGTGCCCTACATGCTATTTTATCTAAGTGTCTCGCAAATCAAGTCTTTCATTGCACAAGGCTTTGAGAAGTGTGGGCCAGATCTTGAACAAACATTCTGTCTAGATGTCCAGTGCTATTATTGAAGTGGGTAGTGCCATATTTCTTTGAATTAGTAAAAGTTACTAAAACTAAAAAAAAGTAACTAAAAAGT